ATCGTTAGGAAAGAGGAAATTGATGAGAAAGGAATGTGAAATCCACATTGGAATTTGGGTTTTATGTTGTAGAAGATATCTTGTTTGGTAGTGAACCCAAATTATGATCTCCATTCTTCTAAGAAAATTAATTTTATTAATTGTGTATCCTACAATTGATTTAGTAGAATACAATAGTCAAATCTGATCTAGGATGAAAATTATCAAATCATCAACAAAATTAAGTCATTTTTTCCACATCATTACATAAAATTAAAAGGTATGACTTCATGGCAAGTTCACGTGCAACTGAGCACTTCGGTCCTCGGAAGGACCAATTAGGTAACAAGAAAATAAAGTATGAGGATTAATTTGGTAATATTTTAAGTTCAGGGACAAACTAAGTTCAAAACTGAAAATTGAGAGACCAAATTGGCCATTTATTTAAAAATAAAGAGTTTTGAGCAGGCGGATCAGATCATTTAAGGCAAAGGAGGAGCAGACTGGTGGCAGGTACGAAGAGGAGACGTTTGGCACAGTCATCGAGAAACGTGTTATGAATTTCGGTGCCTTATGCCAAGTGCATCCCTCTGTTTCTTTTCTTACTAAGAAACATTCTATTATCCCCAAAACAACTCATCATCTTTCATACCATTCATACCCTTTCTCTCTGGTGCTGGATCAGAGAGAATTAGATATGCATTGGTGGAAGAAGATGAGGAGACTAAGAAGAGTTTGGATCTCTGTTTCTTCAAAATTCAAGCCTCGCAAATCTAAAGGTCAAGACTAGATCGTATATCTGCATATTGCAATTTCATATACTGTTGATTGTTCAGTAGAAAAGGGGGCTAGATATAATTAAGTTGTGTTTGTTTTTGGTATGTGAGCAGGTGGTAGAGGTGGCGGCAAAGGAGCTGCATGCGGCGGCAGTGATGGTGGTGGCAGTCTACTAAATCTAGAGGACGATGTACACACTTGTGAGTATAAAGATGTACAGGTGATGTGGAACCTATTGAATAGACACAAGCTTGAGCATGCAGAGGTGGCCACTGCTGCAGCATTTGCTAAGCCTATTAAATGCAGCTAATAGGCTACAAGAGGATTTCTAAGAGGCTTTTCTTTTGGTCAAAAAACAGAACTGTCTCCCATTATCTTCTACCTTGTTTTGTTCAATCCTACATAATCAACTAGAGGTTCCTAGGTGTAGAATGTACATGTCTTATGAAGTCTCTCCTCACAGATCTTAGTGTATACATAAACCAAGAATGCAAAACAAAAAACTGAATTGAGAACGAAAATGGGTCTATACTACGGTCTACTTGATTTTCTATAAGTGCTTAAATTTCCATTGTTTTCTAGATAAAAAGACCAGTGGATGCAGGTCTCACAACATAGAGAAAAAGATGTATTATGCGTATTACACACAACAGAAAGTGTGATCTAAGAACTCAACTCAAGAAACTTAAGTGCCATGGGATGCTTAGCTTCAGAGAGCAAATCAGGCTTTAAGATTTCAACAATCTCACCATTCACCAGAAGGCAAACAACATCTGCAATCCTCTGGATTTGCTTGATGCTGTGAGAAACCATCACTACTGTCATCCCCTTCTGTTTCTTCAGCTTCACTATGCAATCTTCTATGTTCTGTGTCGATATGGGATCCAAAGCACTAGTTGGCTCATCCAGCAGCAAAACCTATGACCAAGAATTAAAAGGAAAAAAAAAAAAAAAATCCCAAATCAGAATTCAGAGGCACGATTTCAAAGAGAAATGTTGAATTCATAAAAATTAAAAAAGTTGGGAGCTTGGAATTTGGGATACCTCTGGTTCATTAGCTAGGGTTCTAGCCAGAGCAACTCTCTGAGCTTGACCCACTGATAACTCATTGCCAGTCTTGTTGTAGAAGGAGGAATCAAGGTCTGCAAGAGTCAACAGCCTGTAAACCTCTTTATCTGACAATTTCTGTCCTCTGAGCTGCGGTCCATATCGGATATTATCTGCAACTGTGCCTGAAAATCATACAAATTGATTATTTGATCATGAAAATTGTTAAATTTCGTGAACTGATTTGGGGATAATTTTGATTCAATTGTTAAAAAAAATCTAAATTGTTATTCTGTCGTTACCTTCAAATATAGCGGGAAGCTGGAAGAGCATGCCGACTTTCCGGCGAAGGCTGAGAACATCGAGATCAAGAATATCCCGGCCATGCAAAAACACGGTCCCCCGTGGCGGCTCCCAGAGGCGATTAAGCGCGCGAAGCACCGTAGACTTACCACTCCCACTGGGCCCAATAATCCCCACAACCATACCCTTGGGAATATCCACATTAATTCCATTCAGGATAGGAACGCCCGCGTCCGACACTTTCCTCAGATCACGAATCTGAAACTTCAATCCGTTGTTCGCCGCGGCCTCTTCTTCTCCGTCCACCACCTGCAGCAGACACTCCTGCGCTTCACTCAGAGGGGAGCTCTGAACCTGGCAAATGGAAGCCATAGCCATCCTGGAGAATACAGGAAGATGGGGGGGAGAGGTAAAAGAGAGATTACAGAACTGCAAAACTGCAATTCCCCAGTAATCAGATGATTGAAGGATTGATTATGAAAATGATTGATTGGGGAAGAGTATAACCAGTACGTACGACCTTCCCTAGTCGCAGAAAGAACTGAGGAGCACTCCAGTCTAAAGGGAATCTAAGCAGGTTGACAGGTAAAATCATCGAATATCTGTAATTGCAGGTGGAGCTCTCCCCTTCATTCGTTGGAGATGCCACATTGCCACTGATCTTTCTTTCTTGAAATTATTTTCTCTTTTTTTTTTTTTTTTGGCCGATTGCCAAAATAAAAATGTCAATGATTTTGGAACTCACAATATGATATTGATCCACTTACGTTGTAATAAATTTATAATTTGAGGTTACATTAAATGTTTTACGATTTAAAAATGTCTTATCAACTTGAGTTAAATAGTTTAATATTAATTTTTTTATTAAAAATAAAATATTTTGAATT